ACATTCTAGACAAAGCAAAACATTCACATGGAGACAAGCAGGTGGCGGACCCTATACCAGAACGTTACATGGTGCACCTTTAAGATTAGTAATTCATTCATTTATTTGATGCCTTTTTTAAATCTTTCTTTCTGTTTTTCACAACACTGTACCAAAAACATGGGCATTGCAATACATAATATACAGTTATATCCGAAGCCCAATTTATGGTCATGCGTAAAATCGTTGGTGTCACGATGCAGAGAGTCTGCATCGCCGTGAACCCCCTCTGCAGAGCATCTGCATCGACCAATGTGCACCTCCAAAATTTTTAACTAAGAGTCAAAAATGACACAGACATAAGGGGGAAGCAACACAGACAATAAGGGACACAGACGCCCACGATCACGGTGTATAGACCTTATCGCAGATCCATAAATCAAAAACGATTGTGACAAGGCAACGGCGGCAGTGTGCGTTGAGTCAACATAGAACTATACTTCGCTCTTAAGTGTTATGCAATCTTACCTTACGCTGTACAATGAACCTATGGCATGAAAACACGAATCAGCTGTTTTGAGCAGATCACCAGCTCTCACCCATGTATACGTGACATGATTACATTCACATTAGCCTAGGCAAAACCACTGTATATTTATATAGCTTTACCACAGGTGTACAGATAACCCAGTGAGCTGTGTGACTGCCTATGTGTCAATTATGCATATATCTTTTTACACTGTTCACGATCATGCCAGTAAATATAAATAAGCTTCGCGTGCACGCATGGACCAGCAGCTCCTTTGCCTGACACTGGTCTCTGCCTCTTCCTCTTTCTGTGTGAGCGAGAAGAGAACATCTGCGTTATACAGCCCGTAGTGAGCGAGCAGTAATTAGTGCAGAAGATGATTTTATTATTTGGATTTGTTGGTTCAAAGTGGAGGGAGGCAGGTGAGCGGATCAGGCCCGCAGCTGTACTTAAACCAGCCAAATGGAACCACAGACGAGGAAGAGGGGAGAGGGTCAGAGCCGAGAGAGAGGAGGTGAGAGAAAGAACGCAGATATGGGCTGAGTGCTGAGAGTAAAGGAGTAAAGATCAACTTTGTGGGTGAAAGTGAAAGTATGTACAAGGTGAAGATACTTGAATGGGATTTGCTCATTACATGGTCATGAAGTACTGATTTGTTTTACAGTTAAGATTTCTGTGTGTAGTCTATCACAGTGAAAAATCTCTCACCACAATAAAAAGTTTTACAAGAATGAAACAAATTTTGAGAATATTTAAAGGGCCCCTACTAAGCCCGTATTATGTTATTTTTTTTATTCACGCCTGCATATTTAGGCTGAGTGTGACTCTTAAAAAAACAAAACACTGTTCCACCTTGTGATGTCATATGGTAAGACAAGAAGCGCTCCACTGTGTTTTTTAAACTTCATACACCTTCAGTAGAATCATCTGGATAATTTCAGCCCTGATTGCCCATCTTGACTAGCCAGACTGGCACCACCTAATGGCTCCGCTCAATTTCATTTCTCTCCAGCGACTAGATCATTAATCGGAATGCATTAGACGGTTTGCAAGAACCCCGGAAGATGTAGACCACTCCCCGGCCAATCAGCAAAGAGCTGTGAAGCCATGATATCAAACTCAAGCACCTGTCTGGATCCTTTTTGCGGTACAGCACAACGGTAAACAAAGCGGTCGAGATGTAGACGAAGCCATACATTCTGTGTTGGCAATGATTCCCAAGATCGAGGATTTAAAGCCGGAACACAGAGAATGTTTTGTGAATTTTATGAAAGGGGAAAGACGTTTTTGCCCTTCTTCCTAGGGGATTTGGCGCTTTACATACGTCACGACCAAATAGCAGCGATTGGTTAAATAACAAAGTACCCACCTACCGTCGAGCGAATGAATCCTAATGCTGCAAGATCAGACGGTTTCCGCGAAGTGAAACCATCTGATGAATCAGGCTACATCTTGACTGAACTGAAGGTTAAACTGTTAACTTGAAAAGTACCACTTCATGACATCACAACGTAGAAAAGAGCATATTGAGCTTTGGAGATGTAGATAGACAAATATATACAATAAATATTTCAATGTATTGTATATATTTAAATAGATCATCTTTTAATCAAATTGCTTTGGGCCAACATAAAATAATTAAATTGACATGTTTGGAGGGTGTTTTTCACTATATTTTCAAGTTGCTTTAGCGCATCCTGCAAAAGATTGACTGGTTGTGTGCTTCTTTCTCCTCACAGTGTAATGTATGAAGTGGACATTTAGATTTTGTTGCATGATCCACTATTGTAATACCTCCAGAACTAAAAATAACCACAGTTTCTCGTTCAATACAAATTTGAATACAATTGAGTTCACTTCACAGCTCAGTAAATCTTTTCTTTTTCCTTTGTACAGAAACAACAGCAGATATTTTACAAAGAGAAAAGACACATGACATTTGTTCTAGTGATTTAACACAGTGACATATACTACACCTCAAAGGTCACCATGCTCTAGCTGCTTCTACTGATATCAGCAAGGTGTGATCAGATGAACCAAAGCCAATAGGGCACGTTACATTTTTTCTTCTTTGTCTTATAGCGATGCACTGACAGCTGCTGTGTTTTAATTTCTTTTTACAAATCAAAGGCACAAATGGGGCAGAGCCAAAACTGTGAAGGAAACTGCCTCTGCACATTAGACAGGCCTCCTCTGTACTGTTTTTAAATCTCTTCTTAAAGGTACATTGTGTAACTTTTCCAGTGGAGAGTCCGCCAAATGCTTTTCTTCATGGAGATGCTATTGTTTTGTCTGGGATCTTTCACAGTATGGTAGTAAACATTTCTATCTTCATGGAGACCAAAGCAGACCAAGGTACAGGTCAAATTTGTGGAGAGGCGACCCTAGGTATTTTGAAGCTCTAAAACCACCTGTAATTAAAAAAAAAAAAAAAAGTAAGGTAGAGCTGTTTAATGTCATACTGTGGAACATTCCAGGCAGAGAATTTACATATTTATAAAAACAAGTAAGAGACAAACCCAAACCAAAAAGTTACACAGCGCAATTTGAGATATTGACATTTTATCAGATAGTTTTGGGGTTTTTTTAGATTCTTGGTTGAAACATTTGCTGTTTTATTGTTTTTTAATAGTTTTTAATTGTTATGTTTTGTAGAAATTTAGTCATTTTATGTTGTTTTTAAAGTGTGTAATAAATAAAGTTGCAGTTGCAGTGTGCCCGATGTTATAGACTGTTCTTTGAAAACCAGATACATTTGCATGAGTCAAGCTATGTTTATCCAATTCCAGAGACAATGATCGATCAGTACTTCTGTGACAATATTAACATTAGTCACGTCACCAATGCGATCAATATCCCGTGTTAGCTTATAGGGCAGTGGACGCTACTTTGTACACAGTGCTGTAGATGCATTGTGTGAATGCTCCAGTGTTTAAAAGCTCAATTCAAGTCATTTTGGCCCATTTCTTTGTCTCTTGGTGCTCTGTCTGATCACACCTTATCATCTAACAGTCATTTTGTACCTGTTTGGACTGACATGTTGGCAGGACATCCACATGATGCATGTACAGTGATGGTGAAAAACAACGTAATATGAGCATATGGGAATGGGGGAGAGGCACTGTAAAACCCAACAAGAAAATTATACTGACCCTAAATTAGTTGGTTATGTTTATATTTTTAGAAGACATTCTCAAGAGGTCAAAAGCCAATGCTCCACCAGGTGATGTCATGAGGTGAGACCATTTTGTCCAAGAGTTGTTCCTTTGTGGTTTTAGAGTCCATATAGCTTTAGCTTCTTATTTCAGTGTTCAAAGTTGCCTGTGTTTCAAACCATGTCTATAGCACTGTGGGCACAGCAGGGGACCTATCTTTACATCTTGAGTTAGACTTGGTCTGGACTACTTATACTACCGGTCAAAAGTTATAGAACACCACACTTTTTCCAGTTTTTTACTGTTGACTGTTTACTGTTGACCAAAACGTATTCTAAACTTTTGATTCATGAAAGTGTCCACCTTTGGCAGATATAAAAGCTGAACACACTCGTGGGATTCTTTTTACAATATAAATCAAATATCCTTCAGAAATTTCTTCCCAAGTCTGTTGCAGAAATATCATAAATGTGTGGCACTTGTAGGTTGCTTCACTCTTCTTGTCCAGTTCATCCCAAAACCAGTTCGATGGGGTTTAAGTCTGGAGACTGTGCTGGCCACTCCATGTTTTCAAGCTCACCATCTTGTTCTTTTTTTCCTGAGGTAGTTTTAGCATAGGTTGGACTTGTTTTTTTGTTTTTGTTTTTTTTTAACCTCTGCCTGTTCAGTACTCACTTTTGTACCATTTCAAGCTCTTCATTGGACTTGCACAACTTGAATTGCAATAAATAACTGGAAAAATTAGGATTTCATAGGTATAGGTAGGTTCAAAAACTTTTGACCGATTTTTACCTATAGTACATGTTTTAGGTTGATGAGGGAGTGCCCAGAAGAAACCCACCTAAACACAGGGAGAATATGCAAACTCTGCCTGGGCTACTCAGCTACCATGCCGCCATTAAGGCAGGTTAGGACAGAACCTGTCTCTTTAAATATGTGTAATACCCGAGTAATGCATGAAATAGGACAAGCAAAAAATACTGCTTTCTTTATAGTTAGTAATAGTAAGTTGAGTATTACTTATTTACAGTAGTCTAGATCTGTGTTTCTCAAACTGTGGTACTTGGACAGCTCTTCAGTCTTGAGTTTGCCTAATTTAGAGTTCATTTTACTCACTTTAATGTCTTCCTTTGGATAATGTCTTGTTTATGACTACAGTGGAAATGATGTATTCTACTTTTTGACCTGCTGTAGCCTTAGATTAGACCTTGATTTAGACCTGGTGCTAAATCTTTGTAGTATTTAGTGTGAAAGGTTTAAGAGCCACTGGTTTAGATCTATGAGACAGTACACGTTCTTGTTGTTTGTCACAGTGCAGCACAGGCTGAGTGACGTACCTGCTCGGGCTGGTTGGCGTTGGACAGCGGGATGACCATCCAGATGATGTTGAGGTTGTTGAGTGCGGCGCTGGTGGTGAAGGAGCAGGGCAGGACGGCAGCTTGGCCCCGAGCCACCTGCACACTGCTCTGGGACACGGTCACGTCCAGGGCGCCCACACACACTGCACACACAGGAGAGACAGAGAGAGGGGAGGGGGGGTTAGAGAGGGCCAGCACAGGACAGGGACAAACTGATAACAGACCAAGGAGACATGTTCTGATGGACCCGAGATGAACTGTATAATTAGTGCACTGCAACTCTAGATGATTTAAAATGGTGAAAGCAGCTGTAGTATCTACTCTTACACTGTTTTGAAAAGTCTATCAGAATACTTTTTGATTCATGATTCATGTTATAATGTTGTTTCCTCATCAAAAACATACCTAGAGCTGTGTTTTGTTTCATTCACACATGTTTAACACACAAATCCTACATATTTAGGCTGAGCTGGAATTGCCAGTCTCTACTAAACTAAAGGTAAAGGTAGCTATTAACTTGAAAACTATCACTTCATGACCTCATAAGGTGGAACAGACCTTTTTAAGGTAACAACATTATAACCTCAGACCTCACAATAGTCAATTTTCCATAATATAAAACCTTAAAAATTGCTAATGTCGCAGTTGTTCTTTTGGAGATATGCAACATTTCTATATATAATAAAGTAATTATAATTAAAGCTACAAAAGACATCAATATTTACATTAGCAATGGCTGTCAAATATTTAATACTATAACCCAAATATTGTGATACTGTATCGTCAAAGTCCTCACAATAATATTGTGGACCATCACAATATATCAGATTACAAGTCTCTTTGCTTAAATGAAGAGTTATGGTGCGGCAAGAGCTAAAAAAAAAAAGACAGAGGGAACTACATAGACCATGATCCTTTGCTCCAGTTCATATTCAGAAATAACAGTTCTAAGCACTTTTAAGTCGTTCTTTGGATTAAGTCTTGTCAAGGCATTTTAAGAGGAAAAAGTAGCATATTAACAGTTTTGTTAGCCTCCACAAAATATCGCAATAAATACTGTACGGTGAAGTTCATACGTGACGATATCGTATCGTGAGACTTGGACATCATTACACCTCTACACCTTCCACATTTCATATCTTCAGCAGAAACCCTGACATACTGAGTTTGTATGCTGTGTGTTATCCCAACTTTTCTTATGTCTTCTGATAAATTTCACTGTTTTGAAAGCCTAACTGCGTTCACCGTCTGCAAGCTCTTATTTTGAGACACTTGGAAAGCAAAACATTGTAGACAGCCAAATTAAATCTTATTCAACTTGTCAGAATGAAATATATGCTTTATTTCTACATCACTACATACACTTTATACGACAGGCACTGAAGCTGCATGAAAAGCAGTCAAAACAACAACCCGATTACAGTTAAATATTTAGCAGGAAAATGCCAAGTCTGAATAGTAAATTTGCAATTATATTAAATACACAACCTGCTACTGTCAACTATACTTCACACTGATTGCAAAATACGCAAGCTTTATCCTATCCAAGCCGGTCTTTGAAGGTCTCTGGGCAGCTAAACAAACAGGAATCACACGGCGGAGGATCACATGAAATATGTAGAGGTTTAATGGGAAAACATGATGGACTGTCTTCTGAGAAAATCATGTCCTAAAACAATTCGCAACAGCTCCAGCATCAAAGAGGTGACACAACTAGTGATGCTCAGTCACTTTTCAGACATTTCACACATGTTTTATAGAACCGTACCTTGCAAGAAAGTAAGTGTGTGGGTTCTTGATTAAGAGTGGAGTTTTTTTTCCCCTTTTCCTTTTTTTTTTAACAGTACAGAGATGTTATTGTCAAGTCTTCTTCGTAAAGTATCAAGAGAATAACTGTCATAGAAATACTGCTAATGGATGCCATTAATAAATGCAAGCTTAAGTGTGCATTTATTTATTGTTAATGTGCAACCACTTAGGGCTGACCTGATCAGACACTGTTTACTTGAAAACTACCTCTTCATGACATCACAAGGTGGAACAGAGCATTCTGAGCTTTGGAAATGTAGACAGATTAATAATAAAGGATTACTCAAACATGTGAATGAAACAAAACACAACTCCAAGTATGTTTTTGATGTGGTAACAACATTCTGACATGGCTTAAAGCTCACGAGTCAATTTTGTGTGATATAGGATCTTTAACCATGTACCAGAATGTTTCTCACATTTCTTTATGATTCTATATATATATATATATATACACACACATATACATCCAGTGTGCATTTCGGAATGTTGAGAGCAGCCTAATATTCTATTGAGGTTCTGGGCCTGTTGATCACCAACTAGTAATGAAATAATCACAGATCCATTGATTTTGGTTCGATTTTTATATATTTTTTTCTCTGGAATGACTATACTGTTTGGTGAAAAGAATGGCATATTAGCTGGTGTCATAACTTCGAGGAATAGTTGATTGCTACTGAGGTAAAGATGAAAATATTTTTTTTTTGGCATTAAATTGAGCCAAAATCATATAGAAATGTGTTTTTAAAAAGATTTTTTTCAATCAGTGTTTTCACCATATGTGTTCTTTGCATCTGAAATGCATTTATTGACAGCTTACCTAACCCACTGAGGATTTCAGGAAATTTTTCAGTACACACTAAAATGGCCACTTTTTTTTTAGATATTTCCAGAAGAGCAGACCCTCCAATTATTGGTCCTTAGGGTCAAAGTTAACAAAAACAAAAACAAAAAACACACACATAAAATGTATGGCACACCATGTCAGGTTCAGTCCATTTTATTGAGCTTTTGAGACTTTGGCTCCCTGACTATAAACCAATACCTCTTTGAAAATGTATCATGCTAGTTTAAGGTTGTACTGTGTAACTTCTCTGGTTGGAGGGCTCTGAAATGTTTTTTCTCCATAGAAATGGTATTCTTTTGTCTGGAATTTTTCACAGTATGGCATTAAAACTTTCTATTTTCATGGAGATCAAACCAGTCCAACTTACAAATCAAGACAAGATCAGTGGGGAGGCAGCCCCACTCACAGTTAGAATGTATGTTTTTCCTAGGTATTTTTGAGCTATAAAACCACCAATTGAATAAATGTAGGGTTGTCATACTGTGGAACAATCCAGGCAGAGCAATGACATATCCCACAAGCAGGTGACGGACCCCAGCCAAAAAGTTACACAGTGCACCTTTAAGCTTATGATAATACAAACCAACCCACGCCCACTGAAAGCCCATGCATGCGCCTCATCTGGACACAGCTGTCAGGTACAACAGACTCACGGAGACAAATGCATCCATGCAGCGTCCTATTTTGAGAGCAGCTAAAGACATTACGCTCCAAATTAAGTTAGATCTTCCCCCACAAACATGTATCGCTGTCCAAAAAGCGCGGTGGGAAGCCTCCTTATCAGACCATGGTGAGGCGGACACTGGCACTGATGTGATTAGCTGTAATTGATCATGTCCTGTGAATCGTCCTTGTTAGCGATAATGTCAGATGATGGTCATGCCACAAACAGCGCCCTCCGTGACCACAGGTTTGTCATCCAGCTGTCAAGGCAGATGTCAGCTACACGGTCACAATGCATAATTCAATGTATAGATTAGTGTAACATAGGAGGGGATATAAGACAGTAAAGTATAATGGGTTTGGATGTGACTGTAAGGAGGTTGTACAGGTCACTGCATCTCTGTGACAATCCTGAGCGTGAATAAATGCAGTGGGTGGCAGCAGGTGGGGCATCTGAGGCAAAAGCTATATGGTAAGAAAAAAAAAAAAGATTTTGCATATCATGGATTAAAATACTGTAGTTAAAGTCCTAGTGTGAGTACATTTTTCTCAATTTGACAGATAATTGGAATTTCATGAGACATTATCAGACAACTTTAACCCTTCCAGACAGACCATAAAAGATAGAAACTTACTATTCTTTTTCTTTGAAAAGCTGACAGTTGAGGCTTTCTGATTATATTTCATGCATCATCATACATCATACATTACACCCATGCTGAGTGATGACGTAGGGAAAATTTGTGTCCAATAGGAACTTTGTTTTCTGCCAAATGCATGCACTCCATCCATTTTCATTGGCCCAAACTTTGCCAAAGAGTGTAGTGAATCAAGATGGTCAGCTGCTCTGAGCGTCTATGTTCGTAACAATTGAAAAATCCAGTCTAAGTGCAGTTATTTCTCAAAAAAAAAGGCAAATTATGCATCCTGGGCTGCATAATTGTGCATCCCTTATTATTTTTATTTGTGCCCTGGACCTGACAGGAGCTGTTTCCTTGACTGGCACCAGTAAAGTAATGGGGTGGTTGCACTTTTTGTTTGTTTTGGGGCAATAAGGATATTTTTAGTTTACTTACAGACTTGATATTTTGCACTTTTGTAGCTAAGGCTCTAACTTAAACATTTCTTTATGTCCAAAAAATTTGTTTTACGTGTTTGTGTGAAAGAGTGTGAATTTTATTTTTCGTTTTTCTTTTGTTTTGTTTTGTTATTGTTTTTTGTTTGTTTCATTTGTATTTCAGGTCTGATAGCTTTTATTACAGCCATATGACACAACTACAGCACGCAGATTGAGAAATAACAGGCTGTGCTGAAAAAAAAAAAAAAAAAAAGGATGTATAACACTTCATAAGGGAAGGGAAGGGTTAAAAAATCTGTCCAATTTTTGAGCACTACAAATTACTTCTTCTACTTCTTTAACATTCTTATTTTTTTGGGAGAAGCCTAGGCACTATTCTAGCTTGTGGCTGGTACTAAATAAACAAAAAATGTCAATATTATTAGATTAAAAAATGAATTAATTGAATCAGTGAATGAATTGAATTACTCACCCTCATGATGTATTACTATTAGTTTGTACGGAGATGTTATTTCCTTGCCTAGAATGTTCCATAGGTTGGCATTAAACTTCTAAACTATTTTCACAGATACAGATGACATCTCAAATTTAGAGGTGACCCCACTCATAGTAGGAATTCATGTTTTCAAGGTATTTAAAACAGGCTTACCAAATTAAATATCCAAGACAGAAATTACAAGATTTATGCCAAACTGTGGAACATTCCAAACAGAGCAAGAGCATCCTCCTCAGACAAGTAGGTGTTG